GTTATCAGATTCCCACATGGAAATACCAATATTACAATGCAGAACAAAGCGTCAGTTATATATGCAGAGATTCTTAGGATAGCTAATACCTGTACTCTAATACATAATTTTATCATTAAAGTCAGAGAAATGATAGAACAGTTGGTTCAAAATGAATATAAAAAAACTTTAGTAATAGCCAATGTTGTAAAATGCATTTATAGAAATAATAGGATTATAGGACCGAATCCATATACAGTATCTTTCTCCTTCTCAAATGAATACCCTATTCGTATACAAATTTAGGACTCTTCTAATCTACCTCTTTCATACCACTTTCTTTCAATTCCTGTTTTTTTTTACTTTACCATTCTTTTAATTTTTCTTGTTCCTTTACTTTACCATTCTACCTCATTAACCTACTTTTGATTATTGTGGTAGATATTTATTTACCACATTGATTCCGGACATACTCCGTGGTTCCTACTGTTCCTCACTTACTGAGGAGCCCCGAGGGACAGTAGTAACAAAAAGGTTCGTCTAAGTGAGGGGCGAAAAGAACCACCCTGGATAAGCGGTTTGCTCGCGTGGTTAGCGCGCAAGCGGAACATTGCAGCCATCTGCTGACGCCATAACAGATTCACTGATCGATACCTGCGGACCACCGCGCAAGGCGCTCAGGCGTATGCAAGGATGATCGGTCAATAACCTGAGGAAACGTAGTAGCAGTAGAAAAGTTTGCATTGGGCTTTGAGAGCTCATCGACACATATTATTTCACTGCGATATAGACAACCCAAGTACGCTTCTCGAGCTTCCTGTTGCATTCGTAGCACTCTTGTCAAAGCTCGTAATCCTTTTTCCGCTCAGCAAAAGTCATACGTTTACGTACGCGAACGCTTTTCAATACAAAATTCCCTAGCATAAACGAATTGGTCAAGGCGGTGTACCAATGTGCCTTGGTGGGCATTTAACTACCTCGACCAATCAAAGTCTCGCTCTCTTTCCCCAATCGATACACCTCAGACGGTTTGCATTCCACATTTGAAATACCAAATATGGCACTCACCTTTGTTTCCAGATAACACTGTTCAGCGATGGAATGAGGTCTTTCCGAGACTCGATAACACCAAACAACACTACACTTCTAGATTTTTTGTCAGATCGAATATCTTCAGAAACGTCATGTGGTATTTTGGACATGAGAGCCATTAACACCTCTTTTATCAAGGGATCGGTATTGCGCACTAGTACAGCGTTAACTATCTCAAAAGCTGAAAGTTTCGAGTAATGAATTAGACCGTTACAGTCACTAGCGGACGCTTTATCTTGGTTCTGGATAATCACATTAGCTCTTTCGACATTCACCGCACCAATTGATTCTTTGGTCTTTCTTGAGTGGCTCCTGGTGAGCATGATTCAATGTGGAATTCGAACCCTGACCAAAAAATCAATAGGTGCGCGAAGAAACGAAATCAAAATTAAAAATCGGCGACAAAGCCAAAGTCACGGGGAGTCACAGCGAAATCATAAGCGAAACGTGGGCTAACACGGAAGTCAGAATGATAAAGAAATGATCAAAAATTGAAAATAGAGAAATTCCAGGCTGTGTCCTGAATATTGAGTATCCCCAGCAACGAGCAGAGCTAAAACTACTAACTTGCTAAAATCAAGATTATAAGACACTCAGAATGGAAATATGGCAGCGCCGCCGCGCGTCACGACCATGCGCGACTGAATGGAATTTCATTTCCCTCTTGTTGCACAGATCTTCGAGCCAAGAGATGCCGTTTTCTGCTCTCGCTTCATGCAACATTTGTAATTGCAAATGTAATGCGAAATTTTAACACTGCACCGTGAGTGAAGTGCAAGTGAGCAAGAGTGAAGCCATGACCCCCTACAGAAACTGTCAAACCAGCCACTCAAAGAGCCAAATGACAAATAACTTGGCGAATGTGTACTAAAATATGGGCTACTAAAATATCCACTTCTCAGAAGTCCTTCGTATATACCACTTAACGTATTCTCATCTCACCTTCACGAGGATCAAAAGGAGTCGGATGTGATTAAAAGAAGTGGGAATAAATTAAGCAGCGTTTGGCGCCACATCGACCTTATTTCTGAAAGACGTGACAAAACTCCTGCGGTGCTCTGACTCTTTCGTTCAATTCAATAATGACACTACGAATGCTCATGTACCACAAATATTCAGAATCGAGCCTTTCTAACAGGTACTGTACTCAAATTTTTCATCCTAGATACCAGAGCGACACTCGAGCCGCTCTATCAGAAATTTGAGGATTGGTGCATAAATGGAACAGTTGTCTCTGCCGTTGTTCTTTATCATAGTCGGGGAGTTATGGTGAACAAATTCGTAAATGCTACATAAGGAAAAACGAGCAAGCAGTGTATCTAAGTTGATAACCGAAAATGTTCTGTTCTAGCTTGCTCTTTCATAAATCATCGGTTCGTAAGGAACGGTGAGAGACGACACCTTCTGCTCCAATACAGATCCATAAATTTTTCACCCTTAAGAGGATCTAGACATACCATTACTTTCGTTCATTGCTTCTAAGAAGACGTCCGAGCAAACGATTGGCACTTATTCCTTTGAGATTCTAAAAAACCCATTAAGTTGATTTCTGTTTAGTCTTAATTTGATTTGCACAACTGCTCTATCGATGATGAGCCTTTATATTTCTTGACTTTGAACCTGAAACAACGAGTAAAAGTTTGAAGTTGGCAAAAAAATATTGCCGAGTCGTAGAATTGGCTTTCTATTCCATTCAAGTCTGGCTTTACCTTCAGATATCACTAGAAAGTACAATGTGATGTCAATTCGCACGCATTCAAGGTTACTGTTCAATTTCTCTTTGAATGCTATTTATAATTAGACTCGATGGAAGTAAGATGAGAATATAGCAAATCAGAACAATCAAGTGCGCAAGCGCAGCACGGTTTCATTTTGCGTTTAGGAATAGCATTTTTTATGATTTTCTTCTGTTTCATTTTACTAGCCCTGCATAAGGGTAGAAAGGCTCCTTATCTTGTGGCGCTCTATTTGAAAACAAAATTTTTGTGTTACATCTTCCTGTTGAATCGCCTCGCTCTTTGCCGGGAGCCATTGAATTCTACATTTAAAACTTGCCTAATTAATATACATTTAATTACGGAGATAGATAATATAATGCAAACAGGAATGCAAGAAACAGGAATGTAAACGAGAACCGATATTGCAGGTCCTCAGTAAAGAAGCATTTGATAATCGTAATTGTTTTTATCTATCATGAATGCTCTTTTTCCAGATACACGAAGGTTGCTCTCATCAAGGCACCGATAACTACAAAATCGTTCAATTCAAGATGGATCATTTAAGAAATCCAGAAAAAGCAAAAATCATCACAGGCAAATTTGCTCATATCTGGAAAAGAAAATTGGAGAATAGCACATTTATCATGAAGAGTATGGAGGATTAAAGATTTAAACTGCCAATTAAACAGTTGTTCCAGTAACTATACATGTTACCGGTAACAAACGAGTAGCCTTGTTCTGCGAGCAGAATGCAGTGTGTGTTGGAAATACGCTCTCTCAGCACGAACAGATCCATAAGGAAACCTGATGTTCGCCTGATGGGAAAACAAGGGACGAGATTGACTACATTTGTACAAGCAAGAAGTGAATTGTCTTTTCGAGATGTTAGGGTACTCCGTGGCGCTGACGTGGGCTCAGATCATCTTTAGGTGGGGGCGTCAATCAAACTCAGGCTGAAAAGCTAGGAGAAGAAAGTCAAAATCACTTGACCAGTCGCTGTGGAGAGGCTGAAGGATCCGGCCACCACCGCAAGCTTTGCACTGGAACTACGTAATCGATTCGCGGTTGCGGAGGAAGCGGGGACATTGAAAGAAGAGTGGACATCCGTCAAACGAGCCATCCAGCATTGCGCTCAGAAAGTGATCGGATGAAGACGCGGGAAATGAAAGGAACAATAAATTCAGGAAAGCACCCGGCAGAATATAGATGAAAAGGAGCATTGAAAGCTTCGTAAAGAACAAGCGAAGAGTGAAGACGAGCTCGATGAAGCAAATAGTACTTACGCTGAACTGCATCGCATTGTGAAAAGGTAGTGTCACCGAGACAAAAAAGCCTGGTTTTCGCAAAAAGAACTAAAAATCCAACATGCTGCAGAACGTGGTGAATCGAAAAGCCTTTATCCCATCGTCAGTATATTGATAGGAAGTGCGAACAATGTCTATCAAGGAGTGTAATGGTGAGCTCCTTTCGAGCGCAGATGAAGAGAAAGAAAGATGGCTCGAACACTTTTGGACCACCCTTAACAAGTCTGAGACAAAGGGACTTACTGTTTCGAGGGGATGGAGCCAGCAAATGAGCTCGATGTCGATGTTGGCAGCATGACCCCAAACAATCGAAGCATTTCGTTGCCTTCGCAACGTGAAGCCTCTGGCATAGATAAAATTCCGGCAGAGTTATTGAAGGCAGGTGGCAGCACGATGGTGGAGAAGCTCACGGAATTGTTGGAATGGTCGAGAGATCCTAGAGGATTGGAGGAAAGGAGTGATTGTGGAGCTACTCGGAGAAGGAAATTTAGCGAATTGTTAAAATTGGAGAAGTATCACACTTCATTCAGTTACAGGAAAAACATTTTGCTTTATACTGTCGCGACAACTCCGTGATAGCCAACTAAGAGAACAGGCTGACTTCAGAAAAGGAGGTTCGGTTGCGAGCGAATATTCGCTCTTCGTAACATTGTCGAGTAATGTACTGAGTTTAAACATCGACTCTTCATCAATTTCGTGGACTTCAGAAAGGCATTCGATAGCATACACTGTGAATCATTATGGGGACTACTCAGAATGTGCGGCATACCGAGGCCTTTTATTCGCTCATTCAAGAATCTGCCGTAACCCGTACCGTAACACTTCATGTTGTGCAAAGACGGATACAGGTAATACCTTTTTCTTCAGAACCGTTAAGGGAGAACGGCAAGGGTGCATCTTTTCGCCAATGCTGCTCAACATCTGCTTAGATTTTGTCATGAGGAAAACAACACAGCAAACAACGGTAGGCGTACGCTGGTTCAATGATGAAAGGCTCATTGATCTGGACTTTACGGACGTCATCGCACTCATTGCTGATGACAAATCCGGATTGCAGAAGTTCACCGATACTCTCAATGAAGAAGCGAGCATGATTGGATCACGAATTACTGCCAGTAAGTCGAAAGCCATGTCATATCGAAACAGACTTTTGTGGAAGGATTGCAAAATCTACAGATGTGTTCAGGAGACTCCAGCCTCCACTATGGTAACTATCGTCCTCATCTCAAAACATCAAGATCCACCCGTATTCTTCCATTGTGATCCCTACTGCAATTTATGCAAGCAAAACATAGAAATATGTTGCGAGTTCAGTCAAAAAGTTGAATGTTCTGAGATGTCTGTGAAGGATCGTGAAGATACGGCACACGGATCACATCACGAATGAGGAAGTTCTGCACTGCTCCGGTATGAATAGCCTCCACGTGATTGTGACACGGAGTAGACTTCGATGGGCTATTTATCTGTTCTCATCTCTCATCAGCCGCAACGTATCCCAGAAATCGCTATGTTTTGAACACCTAAAGAGATAAGCGAGTAAACACGTGGAAAGGAACAGTTGACAACGATCTAAAAGTCATGAATGTTTACATGGATGAAGGAGAGAGCATTGCACAGGACTGACAACAGTGGAAAGACTTCATCACCCAATATGCCCAACGTCATGGGAGTAACTAATTCTAAGTAAGTTTCACCGATTATTTCGGCATTGTTTTTCATTTTTCGATAGCGCTGAAGACTTCTGCGATTGTAATACTTGCGCAGGGTTTTCTCTACATGTAGCTGATGTGGTCGAACAGATTAATTAGAAGAAAATCCATTGGGTGGTACAACAACAACATCGACTACCAGAGAATTGTCGCCATTACCACTCCTTGCCATTGTCGATAATGATCCTTTAAAATCGAAGGCTGAGGTTGAATAACTTTCCTGCAGCTCATAACGAAATAACGAAAGAATGTAACACCGTATGTCGGAGTCGCAGAGTAGCGCAGGGAATAGACCAGAATTTCCGGCAAACGAACACATTGGCGAGTCAAGACCGCGCTACTATCACCAAAGCTTGATCGTTCAACAAATGATAGCTGCTTTCGAGAGCTTTACATTAATGAATATGGGCATCTACCATTTCCATGTTATTTATTTCCAAAGATTGAACGCACTCCAGTGAATGATCGTGATTTCCATTTATGATCTGACTACAGAGAGCCCCCTGTCTTTGTCAACGGCTGGATGTTAAATGAGGCCTTGTCGCAGCGAAAGTTGAGAAGACTTTGTAGCGAAAAAGGTTGTTAACTAATAATTGTATGTACAACAAACATGCAGCAAGTTTGACGATATAAGCGGGATGAATTCGAGTTGTCGTGAGACGTATATAAGATTTTTGGCAGCACACCTTTGTTTGGGTTAGCAAGTTGCTAAGTGGGTTGAAAAAAACGCTATTCATTTCACACGATATGGTAAGCATGCAGCGAAAAGGCGTGGAAAAGGTAGTGAAATTTAGCTTGTGTGTTCCTAGTAGGAAAGTTTATGAGCGTAGTTTTTCTAGTTCAACCATTTTCCGATTCTAAAATACTCGATCAATTTCGTATCTTACTTTCACTGGTTTTTATTTCTTTCTCTCTTGGTTCGGATTCTTAAACTCCATTTAAGTCGAAAAATATAAAAAACGTGATCTATAACCGGGACGAAACCAACAAAACCGCACTTGCATACTTAAGATGGTCGAAGGATTGACTTATAAAATGGTAGCAATAGACTTTTTCCATCCTTTCATGTATTTCTTCTTGAGAAGATTATCTTGGTAAGAGCACCTGCTCAATAAAATTTATTGCGAAAACTGTTCATCAATCTCTTCCCCTCAACTTCTCGTACTCTTCATGATAGATACGCCATTCGTCACCTTCCTTCTTCCAAATATGAGTGAATTTGCCTGTGAGAACTCTTATTCCTCCTTTAAGAAGACCAAATATGAATTCGGCTATTTTGTAGTCGTTGGTGCCTTGATAAGAGCCGCCGTCGTGTATCTTAAAGAAACACATATGGTTGTAGAGAAATACAAGTTCGAAAATCAAATATCTCTTTTAACTATTATGGTTAAATTATTCAACAATTATTTACGCTTATTCGTATATTGGTTTGTACAAAAAGTTTCCCCATTTTTTATGAACACCATGTGTGTTTAAAAAGGGAAACGATGTGAAGCCTCCCCGGTGAGCCGTCTCAAACCCCTCTAAAAATCAAAATCCAGGTGCGGAGGACTCTGCTGTGTTACTGGCCGGATTGAGAGAAATCAGTTATTGTAGGCTACTGCTTCATAATCTAACCATAGCCTCGAGGAGTACTTCACTCAGCTAGACAATTTGAAGAAAGCAGTAAACCAGAAGCACTCAGAACAAGTGGAGGCGTCTAAAGGCGTTGTCCTCCAACAGGGGAGTTTCAGACATCATTCATCTCGTCAAAGATTGCAGGAGCTTGGTTGGGGCTTCTTGCCACATCCCCACATAGCCTGCTACATCCCCATCAGACTACCTTTTGTTACCGTCTGGTGGCAAGATTCATTGGATGGAAAATCAATCAATTCACTGGAGGACTGCAAAGGTGCCCAAGAGGCGATTTCAAGCCTAGAATCTTCTATGGGAGTAGGATAATAAAACTTACAGGAAGATGGCGAAGCATTACTGAAAATAGTAAAGGTTATTATTTGATCAATGTATATGTTTTTTTAGAAATTTTCAGTGAGAGATGACCTGAAAATGGGCAGAAACTTCTCGGACAATCCAATATTTGTGCTCGTTACGACGTTATTTACATTTGGAACTGAACGGCTGCTTTCACAAGGCGAACCGGTGCGCTAGCAAATTTTGATTTTAAAATCGCGTTTTAGGATTGACGAAATAATACTTGGAAGGGAGAAATATATCATACCCCGTGTAAGCTTCTTGAAAGACAGAAACAGAAAACCACGAAAAGGTGAAACTTGGTGACGTCGAGGTCCGCAGCAGACCATTACAGTCTGGTACCTATTCACTCGATCGTTTTGACTTTGCTATCTTCTCATTGCCCTTTTCACTTTGTAACCTTCATAGATCGTAGCTATAGATAGTGTTCAATAGAAGAATGAACACGAACCTTGAATATGTGCGAATGGAGTCTCGACCACATTACATTATACTTCCTAGTGATATCTGAAAGTGATACGTCAGTAGATGAATTTTGATCCTGGGCTAACATTTTTTGGGAGCTCCCCTATAATCAAAAAGTAAAAGAGAGTAAATGTTCCGAGTAGATCAGCAGGCAAAACGAGTGTGTGATAAAGGCAGAAGTGAAGAAAGGAAGGCAAAAACGCAGAAAAATCAAAAACAGAAATATTTCAATTTGTTGACTAACTAAATTTTTCAAACAAACACCCGCCATTCAGCTGCTCAGACTTTTTCACAAAGGCCTTTGATCGAAAGGAGTGGTTGGTCAAGTATCCCGTAAAAGAGGAGGCTCTGCCTATCGATAACGGTAAGAAGTGGGAAAATTACTGCGGTACGCTTAGACAAACCAATGATTAGTTACTCCACATCTAATGCAGTTAGCCTTTTTGTTTGACGATTGATCACTTGTTCTTCCATATGTAGCATTCACGCCTTTGTTTACCATCACACCCTGACTATGATAGAGATTAACGGCGGATTCGACTGTTCCATTTACGCACCAGTCCTCGAGTTTTTGGTAGAGAGGTTCAAGCTCCGCTTTAATGTCTGAAAATGTAGTTTAAAACGATCAAGCAAAGGGTACTCGTTAAATATATTCAAATTAGAATATTAGTAGTGCCTGTGTCCCCCAATTATTTGACAGTCGACGAAGACTGTACTTGCTAGCCCCAGTTTAGGCAAAAAGTTGAAGTAGCTGAGCACCAAGGGCAAGAGACGAATGAATTAGAAGTACAAATAGGCTTTCATCAAAGGTTGCAAGTGAAACTTCAAAAAAATGAATATTTCTCTAGAACATACTGTTTACATCTGACGAACATGATTATAGGCTTCCCTGACCATGACTTCCCTTTATGACCACCCTCTTCGGCTGCTTCATAATGAAGCGTCACCTGTTAGTATTGTGGAACAAGATGTGGGGTGTGCAATGCTATCATTTTCTATTGAATTTGCAATCATGACTATTGCATCGTGAGAGGAAATATGAGAAGTGTGGTCTTCAATGCAACACTGGGGTAATCGGAACTCGTTCGTTTCAGTAAATGGCTCTATTTTTCAGAGGTAGCTTAAATGATACGTAATTAGTGTGAAGTGCTAATTCGTAAATTTGATTATGAGAGTTGAGATAACACCTTCAGTCGCGATATTCGCTAGAAGGGAGGCTAGAATGATGGCGAGCAACATTTCGATTACGACCTCCTCGTCTTCTTTTCCCTATTTGTAGGTTGAGGAGGAAGGACCCGTGTTGTAAAAAAAACGATTGTTTCCGTAGCTTAAAATCAGAATGTTCCTTGTCATCTTGTTTGCCACTCTTGTCTTTTACTAAAAATACCACAAGCCCACGTATAATGTAGCCCGTGAAAAAAAAGCCTATCACGTGTGTTCTTGTAAAAAAGCAAAAAGAATGGCACTTATAGAGCTTTGATTGTTGGAGTACAAAAGTTTCTCAATAGAGGGTCTTCCACTTAACGGAGCAATTGTTCTTCTTGCTCTCACTCCTGATTTTACGAAAAATTGGGTTGTCCGAGAAGTTCCCGCCGATTTTTGATTCATCTTTGAATGAAAATTCCTAAAAGAAGGATCCATTGATTGAACAATATATCCTCCATTCTGTTCAGTGAGGCTTCGCCATCTTCCCCTCTTCCATAGAAGGTTCCAGACTTAAAATCGAAAAACCCACTCAGGTGCTTTTTGCAGTCCTCCAGCGGATTGAACGATTTTCCGTTCAAGGAACTTTGCAGAAACCCAAACAAGTGGTATTCTGGTGGTGCTATGCCTGGACTGTATGGGGGGTGCGGTAAGACATCCCACCCAAGCTTTAGCAACTTTAGACGAGTGGCCAAAATACGTGTGGTCTGGAGGCACCCTGTTGGAAGATTACGCCCTAACAATTGGCCACTTCGGGTCGCTTTTGGTCCATCGCCGCCTTCATAGTTTCTAGCTAACTATAGGACCTTTCCTAAGTCATCTTTTGATTGTGCGACAACAGCTCATGGTAAGTGATTTCCCTGAAATCCCATCAGCACCTCGGCATAGTCATCCGCACCTGGATTTTGACATTTGCAGCGATTGCGACGGCTTACTA